TCTCGTGAGTCATAGTTGGTCCCATGCAATTCACTGTTTGCAGTCAGAATAAGTAATCCAATTTTATTGGTAACGCCCACTCCGCGCCGCACCTGTCGGCAGGACACAGCACACACAAAATCGATACCTTTGCCAGCGGTTTCTGAGGTCATGAGCCTGTACATGCCATGCGTGCCTGGAGTGGGAAAATTCCGAGTCGCATGTGCTGGAGTCCCTGGGCTAAGACCGCACAGCAAAGGACGCTCCTCTCCTGCCCTCATTTCTGCTCACCTGTAAACAAGGGTTCCATTTCTATGTCTGTTACGTGCCACACAGTTTTGTAATTTTTTTGCTTTTTTTGGTGGTGTTTGTTGCATCTTTTAAATGGGCCCACACAGCATAGGTTGAAGTGTTATCTAGTGTTCCTCAGTGCAAAGGTCTGTTTAGGGAGAAAAAAATACATGTTATGGAGAGTACTGTCATTCGAGGCATGAGTTTAATATGCCTGTTGTTGTGGGGTTTGAGTACAGTGGGCTGGGGAGGTGCCCAAAACACACCAGGGGGGACTTTAGAAACCCAGTTCGTTGACCTCATTAACGAAAAGGAAATTCCAAAGATGAGTCAGAAAAATAGTGAAGAGGTACCAGAGACTTATTACAAGGTGAAAAGTACATACTCAAGAAAGAGGGAATGCGCGGCGCCTAACTCAAGACGAGAGTGTATCGATGCAATTTGTGTTTGGGGTTTCTACTCTTTATGGGTTTTCTCTTGCCAAAGAGTGGAATAGTTTCATAAAAATTCCTGGGAAAGAGACGTACAAGATTATCTTGGAGCGGCGTGTCGTCCCCATTTTTGGATGCCAAAATCTGAGTGTCTGCCTGTAACTGTCATGGTGCTGGTGTGGTTGTGTGTTTAGTATATTCAAGTGAGCCCCACCAATGAGGTCCTATCAAGGGAAGCTAGGTCCATAGCGCCGCAGCACCATGTTGGGTCAGTCAGTCTTAGCCAGCTTGGTTCGACACTTTGGGTTTTCAGGGTCCTTAGGCACGATATAGTCTGCTAAGTCCATGTAAAACTGCTGCCTGGAATTTACATTCTCTGTGACCACCTGTCATTATTCTCGTCCATCTTTCAATGTTAATAATGAGTCCAAATAACTAGAGCTTTAAATAAGGCTTTGCTTTGTTGTTTCGTGTTCTTGTTGAGATGTTTGTAGTTTTCTTATCTTTCTGTTCTCTTCAGTGTCTGCAGTTATCAATTGGCACGATCTTGCTCTCTGTAGCCTCCATCTTTATCGTGTGTTTTCTATATGTGATTTTTTTTCCCCCCTTCTTTCTGCCTCAGCCTTCCCAGTTATTTTGTGATCTTGTAGGTTTTCTATCGTTCCACATACGTCAGCTTTTTTTGTTCTTTAATTTTTTTTGTATTTTTTTTAGTTTTTGGAGATGTGTGTTTCCCACCTATATGTTTGCCAGGCTGGTCCTTCTTTGAACTCCTGACTCTTATGATCATCTTTTTCGCTTGGCTTTTTTTCTTTTTTCTCCTATTATAATTGTTTTTGCTTTATTTATAGGCATATTTAACCACTGTGGGTTCGGCCTAAATAAGACATCTTTAAATAGAAACACATTACATTTTTTTCACAAAAACAAAGATAATGTGGTATTCGATCTGTTTGTATAACAAATGTGATAATGTAGATCTCAGGAACTAACTTTGCACATTTCCTACGTGTAGCTGTGGTTCCAGGATTATCTAGTATTTTGCCAAGATCCAATGTACTTAATTTTTTTGTGGGTGCCTTTATTTCTAATTCAATATACTTGCTGCCTAATACTAGAACTTGACTATACTGACGAAACTGAGGCACAGAGCCTATAGCCTCTGTTTGTTGTCATCTCAGCAAAAAAATGAAGGTAGCTTCAGGATCTGAAGCCAGGCAGTGTCATTCAGAGCCCTAACTTTCAAATTCGTTATCTAGCAAGGTCTTACATTCTAAATAACATTGTAAATTCCAACAACAAAGAGGAGCACAAGCCCGAAATATATTCACCTATTTCTTGCACAGAAAGCTCCTGAAATGATCAGTGCCGGAGACAAAAAGGTACAGATGTAAGTATAACGGTTCTCTATGTTATCCACCAGCCTCAGAAGCAGCTGCTCTGCCTGGCCTTTACCCTGCCCTAACACTCCACAGAACAGTTATGCAGTTCCCCAGAGTGTGCTTCAATGGACATAGGTTTCAGGTGACCCAGAAGATGCTTATCAGAGAATATGACTTTCCATAGGAGAGAATGGTTTTCCTGGTATGTTTTTTTGGGACATCTCAGCAGGGTATTTCTGTTGTCAGCAAACCCATCAGTAACACTCTAAGACTGCGAGAATCAGCAGATATATTCTGTAAGGGAGACAGTAATATTTTAAGGACTGTGGGCCATATAGTCTCTACAATAGTCGACTGTGTCCTTTTATCAAAACGCAGCACTATGCAGCCATTAGCTATTAGACAAAAACCTAATGAACGAGGCATCGATCTGGTTAATGAACTTTATTTAAGAAAGCAGATCTGGGCCAGGCGCGGTGGCTCAATTTTGTAATCCACACTTTGGAGGCCAAGGCGGGGCGATCACGGAGGCTCAGGAGATCAAGACATCCTGGGCAAACCACTGGTGAAAACCGCCTCTCCTAACTAAAAAGTACAAAAAAATTAGCCACCGGAGTGGGTGGCAGTGCCTGTAGTCCAGCTTACTCGGGAGCTGAGGCAGGGAGAATGACCGTGAACCCGGGAGGCGGAGCCTTGCAGTGAGCCGAGATTGCACCACTACACTCACCAGCCTGGGTGACAGAGCAAGATTCCTTGTCAAAAAAAAAACCACAGCAGATGGCGGGCCAGCTGCCCAGCTGCTCTAGAGAAAAGGAGGAGCTGTGTCTTATCTTTGTAATTTCAGCCCCAGCAGCAAAAATTGTCCCTATGTTGCCAAAGAGGAAATGAAAACACAGAGTCAGTCTTTTTTTTTTTTTAGAAGGAGTCTCGCTCTGTCGCCCAGGCTGGAGTGCAGTGGTGCGATCTCGGCTCACTGCAGCCACCCCCTCCCAGGTTCAGGCAATTCTCCTGTCTCAGCCTCCCGAGTAGCTGGGACTACAGGCCCACACCACCACGCCTGGCTAATTTTTATATTTTTACTAGAGACGGGTTTCACCGTATTGGTCAGCCTGGTCTCAAACTCCTGACTTCAGGTGATCCACCCGCCTTGACCTCCCAAAATGCTGGGATTACAGGCGTGAGCATAGAACTAAAATCTGGCTGCCGATTGAATATTTTGTTTCGGAGTGAGCCTCAATACTGTACTTCATGTTAGATCTGAACTAGTTAGAAAAATTAAAGCAAATACCTAGCAAAAGGATCTGATCTTCACATGATCCAACCGGCCTTGGGTCTCAGCAAACTCACGTCTGTGCAGGTTAAGTTCCACACATGGACTGTGACTGAACTGTGGACGGTGGTGGTGACATCAAATCGCATTTTAGGTGCTCCCAGAGCTCGGAGTGGATGGTTGATCCTGTCTTTGCACAATCTCAGCTTTCTGTGTCTGTTAGCTTCCTAGTCCAAGAGCCCAAGGCGGGTTATAAAACTGGAAATAAAGTCTTGGTTTGCTCCTGTGAAATCATCCTTCGCAGACAGGTTTTGGTTTGGACCGGAGGAATGCCTGAGGGTCTTACATACACTGGAATTCAGTCACAGAACTACTAACTTGCAAAGTCTATTTCTTTTTCCTTCCTTCCTTCCTTCCTTCCTGAGCTGAAACCTCCACTTCCTTCCGGATTCAAGCAATTATCCTGCCTCAGCCTCCCGAGTAGCTGGGGCTATAGGCGTACGCCGCCACGCCCGGCTAATTTTTTGTATTTTAGTAGACACAGGGTTTCATCATGTTGCCCAGGCTAGTCTCGAACTTCTGAGCTCAGGTAATCCGCCCGTCTCGGCCTCCCAAAGTGCTAGGATTACAGGCAAGAGCCACCAAGCCCGGCCTGCAAAGCCTATTTCTAACCAAAGTCAAGTCCCACACACTTGCCTCTACACTGCGTTTTGCTCCTTTTTATCCCAGGTTTTACAATTACAGAGCACTTGATGAGCCTGTTTCCACGTCTGTAAAATGGGGCGAAGTTCTTCACTGTGCTACTGCACAGTTAAGCCACTGGCCCTGTAGGCAAAGTGCTTAGAACGGGCGTGGCACGCTGCGGGTGCACAGAAACGCTCGCTGCCACCCCTACTCTAACTACAGGGCACCCTAGCGCCCCGCCAGGGGCTGAAGAAACGTGGGAGTAAGCGGAGGAACGCGAAGGGCGTGTGCCCGTGAAAGGTCTCACGAGGCGTTTCGAGGTCGCCTCTTCAGGCTGGGCCGCCGACAAGGTCGTTCTGAGCTCACCCAGCCCAACCCGGGCACCCTGGGACCCCCAAGACGGCAGCGGGCACAGCTGGGCAGCCGAGCCCCGGGAACACCCACTTCCGCCACAGACCTGCTCAAAATAGCTCCTTCTGGCAGCACGCGAGACATGGCCCGAGCCGGCCCCAGGGAGGCGGGGCCTGAGAGCAGACAACCCCCCTACTTCCGGCTCTCCTCTTGTCGCCACAGGCCCCGTCGCAGCCGTCCCCCGCCCCGACCACGCCCTCCATGACGTCATTTCCGGCGTTTGGGCGGGGCCCAAGCAGGGCGCGCTGCCCGGAGCTGCCTAGGTTGCGCTGCCGGCCACGTCCCCGCGCCGGGCCGCGGGCTCTTTCCTACTGTCCTAGGGCCGCCGGGCCGCCGCGGGCCTGCTGCGCCCGGGTAAGGGGCTTGCACTGCCGTCCGGGGAGCTGCTGTCAGGGCTCCCTGACCGGCTTGGGACTGAGAGACAGAGGTGGGGGGGCAGGAGGAGGGTTGGATGGTGGCACGAGGGGCAGGGGAAGAGTGAGGGGCTGAGAGAGGCAGGAGGAACGGGACAGGAGGAGCCGCGGATGGGGCACGCACAGAGTGCAAGACGCTGAGCAGTGCGGGTACGGAGGGAGTCAACTGGGAGCCGAGCATGGCTGGGGGCCCAAGAGGCAGGAGGAGAAGGAGGAGGGCTGAAGGGGGTCCCAGACTGGAGAAGAGGCCCGCTTGTCCCATTTTGGGAGCAGAATGGGGACACTCTCATAGCGGGGACGAATTTGCCCTGGGGTCTTTCCCTGGCAAGCCCAGGACGGGACTGAACCCCAAGAAGTGTTGCTCTTAGAGTTGAGTGACCCAGACCTATCTCCCAGACGCTCTCTCTACCTGGGTGGAGGTTGTGCATCCCCCAACTTCCCTCCCCTGCCCATCTGTCTCCCTGCCTGCTTCCCCCGTGCGAGTCACTTAGTAGCCCCCGTGTGACTGCTCAGCATGTTGACTTAATCGTTAGGCTGATAGGAGGAATCGGCCTCCACACGCATGGTTTGCCACCAGAAATAACCATCGTGCTTAGAAATCTGACTTTAACAACTTGCAGTTATCCCTCGCCCCAGGAAAATCTCTAACAGTTCAATAAAGTCAGCAAGGAAAAGATTTAAAATACAAATTTTTCCATTTATACAGTGGATCTGCCTAATGGACAAAGGAACGTCAGAGATACCCACGTTCTTAGCAAAAACTAGGCCCTAGCATTTAGCTGTGATACCAAAACTTCCAGGAACCTGTAGGCAAGCAACGTATTTAATGTAATATAATAAATATCCAATGTTCCAGGTTTCCGTCTGCCACAGAGTCACATCCTTTGGACTACAGGACAATGTCTATATATACAAAGCCATAAGTCTGTGTTCCTTGGGCTTCTGCAACCAAAGTTCAGCCAGGTGACGTGTCAGGATTAGGTACCTGCAGTTTGCCCTGTATTTGTTTTTGCAGTTCCTACTCCTTGGTATCTGTAACTTGCCTAACTTGGTGTGGGGACTTGGCCGTGTTGCTGCTGAGTGAGTCTTAATAGCCTGATAGACTGTAAGGGTAACAGCTGTAGTCCTTTACCAAGCTTCAGGATTACTTGTGTTGGGTCTTTGGAACATCTCTATGCCAGAAAAAAAAGAATTAAGTCCAGGGTTGCATTTTCCCTTTTTTTTTTTTTTTTTTTTTTTTTGAGACGGAGTCTCGCTCTGGTCCGGCCCAGGCGGAGTGCAGTGGCTGCGATCTCCGCTCACCTGCAAGCTCCGCCTCCCGGGTTCATGCAATTCTCCTGCCTCAGCCTCCCGAGTAGCTGGACTCAGGCGCCTGCGTACTTGCCGGCTAGTTTTGTATTTTTTTTTTTTTTTTTTTTTGAGACCGGACGTCTTGACTCTGTAGCCCGGCTGGAGTGCAGTGTGACCGGATTTCACCTCACTGCAAGCTCCGCCTCTCGGGTTTGCGCCATTCTCCTGCTCAGCCTCCGAGTAGCTGGGACTACGAGGCGCCCACCACCTCGCCCGGCTAGTTTTTTTTGTATTTTAGTAGAGACGGGGGTTTCACCGTGTTAGCCAGGATGGTCTCGGATCTGCTGACTCGTGATCCCGCCCGTCGCCTCGGCTCCCAAAGTGCTGGGATTAACAGGCTTGAGCCACCGGCAGCCCGGCGTCACTATTTTTTAGTAGAGGACGGGGTTTCACCGTGTTAGCCAGGATGGTCTCGATCTCCTGACCTCGTGATCCGCCCGTCTCGGCCTCCCAAAGTGCTGGGATTACAGGCTGGAGCCACCGTGCCCGGCCTATTTTTTTTAAAAGAAATGGGGTCTCACTATGTTGTCCAGGCTGAACTCAAACTTCTGGGCTTACAATCCTCCCACCTCAGCCTCCTGAGTGTCTGGGATTACAGGCATGCAGCACCATGCCTGGAGTCCAGTTTTGTGCAACTTGCATGAAGTGCCCTACATGTAACAAGCCAAGGTTGAGAACACAAGAATTCAGACAAGATGCATTGGGAGGCCCATCTCAAGGTCACGCACCAGAAAAGGTTAGCGAGGTTGACGCCCAGGGGCACAGTCTGGGGGTGCCTTTCTCATGGAGTGTCACCTGGCCCAAGGGGTATCCTGTTGCACCCTTCCTTGTAGATCCTATGGGGAGCTGACCCCTGAACAAGGGAACTCCCAGTGGCAGCCTAACCTTCCGTCTTTCTGTCCATCCTGGTCTCCAACTTAATACAAACTTAATTCTCTCTTGCTCATTCCCCTCCTGCCCCTGGGGTCTCTTTTTTCCCATCTATTATGGTCTGAGACCCTGATCTACCCAGTCTCCCTGTACCAGATAATAATGAGAATAACTGGGTGGGGTCCCGAGACCCACACCCTAATTTTGGCTTGAAGCCCTTGCACGGGAAACAGTTATTTTAAATGTTGTTAATGGCTTGTCCATCATGAGTCAACTTATAAAGATGACCGCAGGTCCCTGCATGGGATCTTAACATTTAGAATATTCTGTTGGAAAGTAGAGGCAGGACCACAGCAGAGGGATGAAGTCATAGGACAACAAAGGCCTGTTCTTGGCTACACAGTGGCCAATTCCTGTTTCTGTGGAAGTGACCACCAGCCCCACCGGCTGGGAGGGAATAAGTGGTGATGGTATCCAGCAGAAGTTTCCTGAGAAACCCGTGGAGTGTCCTGAGATAGCCTTGTGGACATGCTCCGTGTGTGTGCTATCACCTTTGTGTGTGTGATTTTGCATGTATGTGTGTGCATGTGTGAGTGCACGTGTGGTGGCACGTGTACATGTGCAGATGGACACGCGTGCAGCTGTGCACACACAAGCGTGTATGACTAAGTGCATGTGTGTGTGGCTGTGTGTGCACACGTGGGCATCTGTATTGGGAGCAGGCCCACGGTGGTCCTTGATATCACCACCTACTGATAACCTGCCCGTGATAAGAGGTGATGAGCTGTTTCTGTAATCTCCTGAGTTCGCATTAAATATTCATCAATGAGAAAAACATTTGTGCCGGTTAACATCTTTGCATTATGGCTGTACTCCTGGATTCCTCTAAAGTTTTGGTTAGCTCCTCCTAGGAAAATGTCCCTCCTGGTACGTAGATCATGTAGTCTCTCTGAATTATGGAAATCAGTGTGTGAAACTGTATCAGGTGGGTAACTCTGTGCCTTTCTGCTTAGCAGCTTGAAGGACTTGAAGAAAATATGCTGGTTTCTTTCCTTGGAGGTTTTCAGAAATGTTTTCCAAAAGTAATACATGCTTGTTAAAAAAAAAAAAAGAAAGAAAGAAATGAAGTAGAGAATGAAAATCACAGGTGAATCCATTCTCCAGGGATAATCATTAACATTCTAGTGCAAATCTTTCCAGACCCTTGAATAAGTGTCTTTTTTAACAAAAATAGGATCATGGTCCACACGCTGCTGTGTAACCTGCCTTGTTCGTTTATTGATGCCTGCTATATATCTTCGCATGTCAATAAGTAGAGAGTTGTGTATTTTTAACAGTTGCCATAGTATTTTATATATGAATGGGGCCATACTTGACAGAACTATTCCACTTTTTTACTCTTTCTAAATAATGTTGTGAGAAATATCTTTGTAGATCATCTTTGGACATCTGAGTGCTTCCTTAGAAGAAACTGCAGTAGAAGTTGCTGCGTCGGGAGTTTTTTTTTTTTTTTGAGACGGAGTTTTGCTCTTATTGCCCAGGCTAGAAGGCAGTGGTGCAATCTCGGCTCACTGCAACCTCTGCCTTCTGGTTTCAAGTGATTCTCCTGCCTCAGCCTCCCAAGTCGCTGGGATTACAGGTGCCCGCCACCACGCCCAGCTAATTTTTTTGTATTTTTAGTGGAGATGGGGTTTCACCATGTTGATCAGGCTGGTCTGAAACTGCTGACCTCGTGATCCACCTGCCTCGGCCTCCCAAAGTGCTGGGATTGCAGGCGTGAGCCACCGCGCCCAGCCCGCATCGGAGGTTTTGAATTGAAAGCTTTGATCCATGTTGTTGTCCCAGTGGAATGAATGATCTGTTGAATGCTGCTCTTTCTGTGCCTCCCTCCTCACTGGAATTTTCCCTCATGCTTTTCCTAAGGAATGTGGACTTTCTTTCAAACTCTAGATGCATCTGTTACCAGAGTGGAGAGTCTGCCTTCGTCTCACATGTGCCACAAAGGATGGCATGGCCCGGGAGTGCCCCACCACGTGGCTTTCACCCCCTGCAAAGCCAGACCTCACCCAGCGACACAGTGCCAAGCCCGCAGCTCTCCAAGGAGGAAGATGGCCCAGGCTGGGAGCATGCCCTTAGCAGCGGCCTCTGGTGAGTGTCCTGGCCCTGCAGGCTGGGCCTGCCTGTTGGGTGATGGGACAGTGAGCCCAGAGGGAGCTTTGCAGGGTCACCAGAGGGTCAAGGGAAAAGGAAAGACAGCCAAGCCTTATAGTAACCAAGGAAGGCCCAGTCTGTGGCCTTAAACTGTCACAAGCCCTGCCTCCTTTTTTTTGCGACAAGGTTTTGGTTCTGTGTTCCAGGCTGGAGAGCAGTGGTGCAATCTTGGCTTACTGCAACCTCTGCCTCCCAGGTTCAAGCCATCCTCCCACCTTAGACTCTGGAGTAGCTGGGACTACAGATGCGCATCACCATGCCTGGCCACTGTCTGTATTTTTTGTAGAGATGGGGTTTCACCATGTTGCCCAGGCGGTCTCTAACTCGTGAGCTCAGTCCACCCACCTGCCTCGGCCTCTCAGGGTGCTGGGATTACATGCATGAGTCATTGCTCCTGACAGGGAGGCCTTGTCTTCTGAGTGGACTGGGGTGGTGGCCCATGGACAGGATGGGGATCACGCGATCCCCTGCAACCCTCTTCAGCTTTGTGATAGAAATGCAAGTTACCTCAAGAGGTTCTCCCTGACCTTGGTGATGCTGTGGGCACTCACAGAAGCCTCCTCTGTGCTGCAGGGAGGCTGTGTCTCACTGATTCAGGGTGCTGGAGGGCGCCTCTTAGCAGAAGATGATGAGAGGCTGTCCCCTCCCAGGAAGGAGAAGGTCCTTGTCTGTTCCAAGGCAAGGAACTGGACAAGGAGAAGAAGGTTCATTCAGTACATTGAGTCTGATCTTCCCCGCTGTAGCTGGAGCACAGTCCCTGAAGCTGGCTGAAGTGCCAAGGCAGGGGCTAGCAAACTGTGGCCGAATCCCACCTGCTGCCTGTTTGTATCAAGTTTTATTGGGACACAACCGTGCCCACCATTCACATCTATTCCAGGGCTGCCTCTGTACCGGAACGGCAGAATTGAGTAGCTAAGACACAGACCGAATGGCCCACAGTGTCCCAAATATTTGCCGTCCTGTCTTCTATAGGGAAAGTGTGCTGAGCCCTGCCCTAGAGGTTTGTAGTGAGGGGGCAGCAGAAGACCTGGGGCTGGGGTACATTCAGGAGCCGAGACCCTCTTCACCCATAAGAAGCCCCTGCCACATCATCTCGCCTTTAACTCACCCAGAGGACTTCAAATCCTGGGCTCAGGCCTGGGGAACATCTGGAGCCCGGGGTGGTAGCATTTTAAAGGCATTCGGTAGATGTTACTGACCCGAGAGAGCCATTTAAATACTCATATTTATCAAAAGCCCAGCTGCACTGCCTTGGCCCATGGAGGATTGTGAGTTCTTTGTGCCCGAAACCTTCCAGTTTCAGTTCTGCCCGGCGTGATACTGGTTAGTTTCTTCTCTCCCCATCCCCCGCTGCCGCACTTTTTTTCTGTCAGAACAAAGAATGCTTTTTGCACTCTAGATCTGTGGTTTGTAAGGCCAAGTAATTTTTCTAAACCCCTAACACATCAGGAGCCCTTACAGACCATTTTGGAGAGAAAGCACCATCTGAAGCTAGGGAAAAGTGAGTGACTCTCGGAAGGAGACCGGAAGTCTCATGGAATACACCAGCCTTCTAGAAGGGTGTGTGCTCTAAGGGCTTTTTCCAGCCCCGGGGCAACTTGACAGCCGTCCATGTGGATTACAGGAGGCAGAAAGCCACCCAGGGGCTTCTTGTTGCACAGTGGCTGCTTTTGCATAGCTGGAAGTGCTTCTTGGGTGGGCTGCTGGCTAAGCCAGGTACCCTGCTGGGTCCTTGTCCGCGTGATCCCACGTCACTCCCACGCAGCTCACCGAGGCTCAGAGGTCCTGTGGCTGCACATATCACTTGGTTAGTGAGCTTGGGAGCTGGGATTGGAACGCAGGCAGTGCTGTTGGCCTGTGTGTGTCCTGCTGGTCTCCCAGTCCCCTTGCATGGTCTGTTGCCCCTATTGCAGTAGCTTTCTCAAGGGAACGACAGTGAATGCTGAAAGAGCTAAAAGGCTGCTCCTGCCAGTCAGTGGCGCCTTCATCCCTCAGTGACCAATGGGCAGCTCACCCAGCACCCCAAAGCCCCAGTCCGCATACAGCTATGCAGCTGGGGCCCCACTTTGCTATGGGCTGCTAAGTGCTGGTTTTCTTGTGATTGTTTTCATTATTTTATCTAACAAAACAAATCAACCAAACCAAATAACTTTTTTATAATACGTTAAGGGCCGGGCACAGTAGCTCATGCCTGTAATCCCAACACTTTGGAGGCCAAGGCAGGAAGATTGCTTCAGCCGAGGAGCTGGAGACCACCCTGGGCAACATAGAAAGAACCCTATCTCCACACACACACAAAAAAATAGCCAGGTGTGGTGGTGTGCACCTGTGACTCCAGCTGAGGTAGCAGGATCATTTGAGCCTGGGAGGTCAAAACTGTAGTGAGGTACGATCGTGCCACTGCACTCCAGCCTGGGCAGCAGAGCAAGACCTATCTCAAAAAAATAAAAATGTGCTAAAGCTTCCACATCACTTCTGTGGAGCATTAGAATGAAGGAGAGGGCTTTGCTTTACAGCGACTTGGCCCGGCTGTGGGGACCACTGCAGTCTCTGAAGTGGGGAAGTCACTCATTCACTCACACCTTCATTCATTGAGACAGCCTCTGTGTCAGGTGCCTGGATTGCTGCCCCTCACTGGCTGCCCCTGCCTCCCCTCTTGCTAAAAGCACCTTCCTGATCTTGTCTAAGGCCCTGCAGGGACTCCCATTCCCCTACTGTGAAATCTAAACTGCCACATGGCTCCTGGGGCCTCCTCGCGCTCTCCAGACTAATCCCCATCTAACCACACTCTCCCTTGCCTCTGACCCTGCTGTTGTCATCTGCTGCTCCCTTTCTACCTGCCTGCCCACCCCCACCCAGCTTTCAGAATGCAGCCCAGGCGTCGCTTTCCCAGGAAACCTTCCTTGGCATGCCGACCACACCACCACTGGCTGAACTGTGTCCTCTGGGGCCCAGTCATCCTTGGGGCTTCTGCCCAGAGGAACAGCCTCCCTCACTCTTCAAGGCCTGCCCACATGCTGTCTCCTCCCTGCTTCCCAGCACTGAGTCACACCCTGCACAATGCTTGTGCCAGCCTGCAATGACCTCTTTTCTGTGTCTCCCATGGACTGTAGGTCCCTGAAGAGGTTTTGTGTTTTTCACCTTTTTGTCTTAAGTGTACTGCCTGGCACATGAGTAAGCACTCAGTAAATATTGGATGAAAGGATGGGTGGGTAGATGGGTGGATGGATGAGTGGGTGGGTGGATGGACAGACGGGTGGGTGGGTGGATGGGTGGATGGACGGGTGGGTGGATGGGTGGACGGACGGGTGGGTGGATGGGTGGATGGATGGATGGGTGGGTGGGTAGATAGACAGATGAGTAGATAGATGGAAAAGTGGATGGATGGATAGATGGA